AATTTGCTCATTAGATTCTAGATCAGTAATAATGTAGACAGCATGGATAGCTTCGAGTCCAACTACTGACTGGATATCTTCCGGCCCGTTCATCAAAATAATTAGGAAAACAGCTGTTGAATTACTGCCTTGAATAAAATCAATACACGTATCCATATCATCAAATTTGTTAATTTTAATCTTTGGATGAGAGAGATCAAATGATCGAGAACTATTGAAATATAATATAACAATGCGCCATGTGTCCAAGTCGTCTTCGACTGAGTTATCAAACAACATTGAAGTACTAATTTGAGCTGCCTGTGAATACAATTCGGTCAGCAAATTTTTAGATCGTGACCAGCGAGAAGGGCATTGCATAACTGACTCGACGTCTTTCTTCATTTGTTCGGTTATCAAATCGAGCGAACATTCATTAAAAGCCTTTGAATAACCTTTCATCCAATCAAGTGATTCTGTACATGCAGATTCCTGATAAATGTAGATTTTTTCGATCCAAATGTGTTTGTGTATCAATGGTACAATGAAGCGGCCTACTGAGGCTGGTAGGATGACATAAATTAGTTTATCTTTTATTGATAACAATCGCCAAATACAGTTACAATCATCTTCAAATGAGACGACATTAATATTATTATGCTGATTCATCATTATCGACGGTAATGTCAATTTATGAGATGCGATCAGAATGTTGATATCTCGTTGGAAAGTCTTCCTTCCTGTTGATGCATCTACAAGAATATCATTGGATGATTCTATTCTGATTCATAGCTCTAACGGGTGCACTAAAATAAATGTCTCTGCAAGTATTCTCAATATCAAGCTTAAGGTCCATCGTCAAGTCTTGATCATTTTATAAAAATTCACGTTCAATCCTCGAAGCACATGACATAAGTTTTTCTACAAAACATTAAGCAGAAATTTTGGATGAGAAGCACAGAGAGGCCCCACTTAATTCAACTTTCACAGATGATAACCAATCGGTTTAAATCTATTCGTTGCAAATTTGCACCGAAAAACAAAAACCCATAGCAATCTTGTAGTGTATGTGAGGCTTTATCTTTTGACCATGCCAGTAAACTCTTTTTATGAATACCCGCTACATAAGATAAATATATCTTTTGCGAAATGCAAAAATATAGGTTTGGAATCCGGAATTTTGCGGTTCTTCAAAAAAATTTGCATAAGTCAACCAATAAATGAGTCACTATAATCGCGCTTTATCTCCATTTCAACAGAAATGAATTTCGCATCAAATTACAATTCAGAAACTTCAATAGAGCTCTTCATTCGAGTATATCACAACGCATAAGCATATTGTTACGTGTGTTAGACTCAATATGAATAAAATAGTGTTTGCATCAAAATACTACGGTAAAAGGAACGTGACTGTACATCATGGCAAAGAGCTTATTTAGTCATACGCATAAATGACCATGTTGTGTTATTATGTTTGTATGAAGTTAGAAAAAATGCTAAATTGTTCATTAAAACAGCTTTCGAAAGTTGGTTATGCCAAAGCTTCGCATGTGATTTATCTAAGATTTTTACTCAACATTTTGTAGTGAAATATCTGATATGTTCTTTGTCAAGAATTCAAGGTGTAAACCATTTGGAAAAAAAGATTGTAGCTTGGTGATAAACCTTGAGGAATATTTATTCTGATGCCCAGGTTAAAAACTCGAGAGTTTTACCAGAATATTCTAAGAAAAAAATTGTTTTTTCCTAATTGTAATAGAACATGCCTGAAGAAAGTTTCTTTTTTTATGAACGAACCTTACGAGTGACTGTTGAAATCTACAGCGAGCAAAAATTGAAACCGAACCATTATCTGCATCACAAACTATAACAGATATGTTAATATTTTGTATTCGAACATGGGAACTCGGCTCCTAAGTCCTCTTATCAATTTGAAATCCTCTATTTCCAAAGAACTCGTTGTTTTTTCTCTCCAATTATGCTCTTCCAGTAACCAACTATAGACGATGACATGTTTCGACGCCTTACTTCTTTGACTCCATCATGAATGGCCATCGGCATGTTCATGTTCTTTTTCGATGATAAAAGATGTTTTTTAAAAAACTGATAGAAAGAACGAGGGTGCTCCTAAATAACAATGTAGAAATTATTAATACACTAATCGTGATTTCTCACTAACAATCGAGATCGATTTCCAAATTGCTATGGAAATTCAACTTTTGAGATAGGACATAAACAAGAGACAAAGGAAGTCTAATTACACAAATTCTTATCATTTTTCATTTATAGAAACCGGAGACAAATCTGAGACTTTTCCTTCGCGAGCAAACTTTGCTACTTTTGATTGATACATGTCTTTTCTTTAACAAGAGAAATTGTGCCTTACACTTACTATCATCGACGAAGTTTCCATTGAGACATTGTAAACAGAGGCCAACGATATCTTTGCAACAAGGATGAGCAGATTCGACAATAATACATTCAGTAGGCGATTGGTACTAAAAAACAATATGCATCATCAGACCTCCTAATATGTCTCACGTGATAAAAAGTAAACCTTAACAAGCTGCACATGCTCGGTTTCACGGGTGACTCTGGATCTACTCGGTTCGATCAATGTGACTATTTGAAAAAACTGTCAAGATAAGTCATGAAAATGTTTTTCAATATAGATACTTGACTGTTTTGAAACGAGCGAAGTGCTTGAAGAGTCTGATGATACCACGTTGTCCTTCGCCCTAAAAGAAAAATATCATGATGATTGGTCACTAGTTTTGCAAAACTTCCATCGGCTGAAGTCTGTGAGAATTCCTATTGGGCATTGAAAACTTGGATGCTAGACTTTACAGACTGTATTTCAGAGACTTAAGTCGATCAAAAAATAGTTGTGATACTGAACACGCAAAACTTACTTTGATAGTGGTTACTTGTTTCAGGTGCCAAATCAAACTGCTATCGATCTATTGAAATAGGATGATTGTTGGTCATGAATCATTATACGAGTCAAATTCAGGCTCGGTGTTCCATTCCAAATTGGGTCTTGTCTTAGAGGTATTTCTGCTAGGAGTTCATATGTAATTCGGAAATACTTAAGATGAAATAGATGTGTTGTTCTCGATGCTAGCGGCAAAAGCATACAAAACTGTTAAGTTTTTGCCTCTATTTGGCACCTTTTATCATCATAACCTACTCTGATTGCATAGCCGGTATCATACTCGGAATCAGCGCACAAAACAATGTTCAATAAAATATACTTTAATAGGCTTGTTTTACGAAAACTTCGTCCTAGAAGACTCGCTAGCACAGCTTGAGAAAAGAATGATGAGGGGGAAGTACCCTAGATCGAGTGTTAGGCGAACAGAAAAGGTCATATACAGGCGTTAACTTTGATGTAAAAGAACAGGGTGGTGTGTGGGTGTAAGTGAGTGTGGGTGAGTGGTGTGGGTGTGGGTGTAGGTGTCCGTGGCTGTGGGTATGGGTGGTGTGGATGTTGGTGGTGTGGATGTGGGTGGTGTGGTTGTGGATGGTGTGGGTGTGGGTGTGGGTGGAGTGTGTGTGGATGTGAGTGTGAGTTTGGATGTGAGTGGGTGGGTGTGGCTGTGGTGTGGATGTGGATGTGGATCTGGGTATGGATGTGAGTTTACAAAGAAAATCCACATCCGTACCTCACATCCACACCCTCACCGTGGTATAACCAAATAGATATAAATATACGGCAAAAAACTACAGACACATGGCTATATATACAAGAATGTACGAATCAGATACGCTAAAATGACTCTAGATATGAAACAACAGGTCAAAGTGTGTAGATATAGCACTATAACTATGGACATGCGCCATTTGGCAATTCAAACAACAACACAGACATAAAGTTACTGGCATAAAGGAATAACTTAGAAACTATAGTTCCGACGCTATAAGAATCTGTGAGAATATTTTGGATTATAGTGATAAGGATCCAGGTGTCAAGCTAGAGTGATATCGGCATATCTACAAGGTTACATTCAAAGAGGTATAGGCACACGCAACTCGCTATAACAAAACCGTCAAAAAAGTATACCAAGAACTGTACCAGTATGAGGGCACAGGTACAAAAATAAAGAAGTAACAAAAAACACCACGATCATCCTAATCATA